GTTGGGGGGATCACGAGGTCGGAGTTTGGAGACCAGCCTTGACCCAACATGGTGAAACTCTGTCCTTACTAAAATACAAATATTGACTGGACTTGGTGGCACACGCCTGTTATCCGAGCTACTCAGGAGGCTGAGGCAGGAGAATGCTTGACACTCAGGAGGAGGAGGTTTGCTGGAGCCAAGATTGCCACCCATTGCATCCAGCATGGGGTGACAGAGTGAGATTATGTATCCAAAAAAAAGTTAAATAATAACATAAAATGAATAAATTAGCTGGGCGAGGTGACACCATGCCTGTAATCCCAGCTACTCGGAGGGCTGAGGGCAGGAGAATCACTTGAACTGGGGAGATGAAGGTCCAGTGAGCCACGATCATGGTCACTGCACTCCAGCCTTGGATGACAGAGTGAGATCAACTAAAAAAAAAAAAAAAAAAAAGTGGTATGTAATGTTGTACACTATTGCCTTGAATGCCTGGCCTCAAGTAAACCCCCTGCCTCAGTGTACTAAGTGTTGGGACGGAAGGAACACAGCAGCTAAACTCGTTTTTTTTTGTTTTTTTTTTTATGTAGAGATGGTTTTCTACTCCATTGCCTAGGCTGGTTCTCCAACTCCTGAGCTAGAGTGATCCTCTCTTCTCGGCCTCCCAAAGTGCTGAGATTACAAGGCATGAGCGCACCCATGCCCCCGGCCAGAACTTTTTACATTACAGTGAAATTTCAAGATCCAGTTGGTAACTTATCTCCATAAATACCTTTCGGGAGTATTAAAAATGAGGCACTTCTTGCTAAAGCTTTATTTATGATTGCCCAGTAAAGATATATGGGTATATCGGTTTTTTATCCACTGATAAAAAAGTACAATCATTAAACTGCATAATTCTTATAAACATATTAGTAAAGGTAATCAAACAGTCTTTTAAAATGATCCATTATGTCTCAGTTCAGCTTATCCAGGAATGCAAGGTTGATGTAACACTAGAAATAAATACTAGAAACTAGAAATAAATACAAAAACCACATTTATTTTACTTTTGATGGAGTCTCACTCTGTCACCAAGGCTGGAGTGTAGTGGTGCAATCTACACTCAATGCAACCTCCACCTCCCAGGTTCGAGCGATTCTCCTGCTTCAGCCTCACGAGTAGCTGGAATTACAGGTACACACAACCACACCCAGCTAATTTCTGTATTTTTAGTAGAGATGGGGTTTCACCATGTTGGCCAGGCTGGTCTCCAACTCCTGACCTCAAGTGATCCACCCATCCCTGCCTCCCTAAGTGCTGGGATTACAGGTATGAGCCACCACACCCAACCTGACCGCATTTATTTTAGAAACAAGTCCTTCCATGCATTCACTTGTTGAAGTTTTTTTGTTTTGTTTTGTTGTTTTGCTTTTTTTTTTTGGGATGTGGTCTTGCTATGTTGCCTAAGCTGGTCTAGAACCCCTGGGTTCAGGTCATCCTCCCAAGGAGCTAGAACTACAGGCATGCATCACCACATCATTTCATTGAAGTATTTATTACGTACCATCATAGACCAGGTACAGTTCTAGGTACTTGAGTATTAGTAAAAAAACATGATCATCACAGAGGATGCACAGGAAGCAGTTAATAAATTCAAGAGGAATTCAGCGTCACAAATTATGAAATATTGGGAAATCATTCATCATGTAAAAACTGGATATAAAAAGAAACTTTTCCTGTAAGAGCCTCTTCAAAAAAAAAGATAAAAACCTACAGCCAAGCCAATAAAATAGAGCACATACCTCAGCAGAACTGCAGACAATTATGCTGGTATTACTACTTTTAGTTGGTGTTGTGCTGGAGGTTGAAATGAGTCCAGTAAAGCAAGGAAAAAAATATATATGTATAACCTAACGACTAAAGTGGAAAAATGAGTCGTTACTTACAGATTATGTGATTGTCTATGTGGAAACGGAAAAGAATCACACCAGTACTCTGGACTGAATGATAACCCCGAAAATTCATATGCTGAAGCTTCAAATCCCAATGTGACTGTATGTGAAAATAGAGTCTTTAGGAAGTGTCATGAAATGATGTCAAGAGATGGGTGGGGGGGAGGGATGGGGAGAGAGAGATGGTGGGGAGAGAGGACAGAGGAGAAAGAGAGAGACCTATTTGCTGGTTTCCATCCTGTGAAGACATGAGGAAGTGGGCATTTACATACCAGGAAGGGAGCTCTCACCAGAAGTTGACCATGCTGGTACTCTGATCTCAGACTTCTAGCCTCGAGAAATGTGAGAATATATATATATATTGCTCTGTCACCCAGGCTAGAGTGCAGTGGCCGGATCTCAGCTCACTGCAACCTCCGCCTCCTGGGTTTACGCCATTCTCCTGCCTCAGCAGGAGTAGCTGGGACTACAGGCACCCGCCACCTCGCCCAGCTAGTTTTTTTTTTTGTATTTTTTAGTAGAGATGGGGTTTCACCGTGTTAGCCAGGATGGTCTCGACCTCCTGACCTTGTGATCCACCCGTCTCAGCCTCCCAAAGTGCTGGGATTACAGGCTTGAGCTACCGTGCCCAGCAGAATATGTTTTTAACCTACATGATTTATTTACAATTAAATGAATTTGCAAGCCATTTGGTCTGTGGTATTTTGTTATGGTGGCCTGAGCTCATTAAGGCAGATTAAAAACAAAGAAACAACAAAACTAAAAATGTGAAGCAGCTTTGAAAGTGACAAATGAGTAGTGGCTGGAAAAATTGTGATGTGCAAGCTGGAAATAAGGTTGGCAAGGGTGATTCTGGTGAGGTGTCATTGGGGAATGAGGAACATGCTATTGGGAAATAAGACAACCCTTGATATGAAGCGGTGAAGAACTTGGCAGAACTGTATTCTAGCATTTTGTGCAAGGTAGAACTTGAGAGAGATAAAATTAGGTGTTTATCACTAACATCTGTAATGGAAGTGTTAAAAGACACAGGAAGCTTCATTCTTCCTGACTGCTTACAGGGAAATCCAAAGAGGAGACTTGAATTGCAGAAGCAACTGTTAAGGAAAAAGGAACCAGAACCTGGAGATTTGGAAAATTCTCAGCCTATCCATACTGCAAAAATTAGAAAACTTGTGCTGAAGAGAATCCTGAAAGTGTGGCTGAACAATCATTTGATAAAGAGATCATGAGTGGGATTCATGGACTATATCAGCCATCTTAAGAGGAGTGAGGACAGAGACTGGATTATACTAGAAGAGACACTGCCACTTACATTGTGCCACCTAAAATAGACATACAAGGCAGAACAGGCAAGGCTGTCACACTTCTTAGATTTTACAAGGGGACACAGAAATAATCAGCTGTGAAAGTGCACTGGCAGTTAAGGATGGTTTCATTCCTGCCATGCTCTGCAGGATCTGGGAAATAGAAGACACCCTTGGAGGAGCATCTCTTAACAACCCACCTCTGGGGTCCTACATCATCTTGGTTTCTGGTAAATTTTGACATAAATGTGCCACACTGGCAGCCACTAATCAACAGGGGTTGGGATCAATCTGCATGATGTATCTCATACAGAACTTGTCAACGCTATGATCTTAGGAATCTAGTCACCAAGGTGAGGCAGGCTTCAGTACTGACCTCACCATCCATGACCCTTCTTCACAGATGCCCAGACTTAGGCAACCATGAAGTTGTATTCAGAACCTGTAGGTTTAATTTCAGACCCTCAGGATGGCATCTAAGGCCAATCCATGAGCCATTACAACCTCCGCAAGGCATTTAGGACAAATCTGATAATCTTTGGTGTCATTGCCAATAATTAAAGATGGCAACTGATGGGCTAAATGGTAACACTCATACCCTTACATTCATAGGGTTTCTCCCCAGTGTGAATTCTTTCATGTCTACTTAGGCGTGAGGAAACAGCAAATGCTTTCCCACATTCTTTACATACGAAGGGTTTCTCTCCGGTATGAGTTCGCAGGTGAACATTAAGGCGTGAGGAATACAGAAATGCTTTCCCACATATCTTGCATACAAAGGGCTTTTCTCCACTGTGAGTTTTCAAATGTTTACTACGACGGGAAGAAGTAATGAAGGTCTTCCCACATTCAACACATTCATAAGGCTTCTCTCCTGTGTGAATTCTTATATGTTGAATAAGGCTTGTGGATGTCGTGAAGGCTTTCCCACATTCCTTACACTGATAGGGTTTCTTTCCACTGTGACTTCGTATGTGTATAGAAAGGCCCGAGTACTGAGCGAAGGCTTGGCCACATTCCTTACATTCATAGGGTTTTATTCCAGTGTGAGTTCTTACATGTTCAGTAAGTTGAGTTGATCTAGTGAAGGCTTTCCCACAGTATGTACACTTGTGTGGTTTTATTCCAGTGTGAATTTGAATGTGATCATTAAGGCATGAGGAATTTCTAAAGGATCTTCCACATTCTTTGCATTCAAAGGACTTCTCTCCTTTATGAGTTTTCACATGTGCATAAAGTTGAGAAAAATTAGTGAAGGATTTCCCATATTTCTTAGTCTTTTTGGATTTCTTTCCTGTATGAACTGCTACACATTGCTTTAGGTGTGAGGAAGATGTGATGGCTCTCTCACATTCCTGAAATTCACAGAGTTTCTCATCAGTGTGGATTCCCATGTGATTATCAAGGCTTGCAAAATACTTAAAGCCTTTTCCACATTCCTTACATTTGTAGGGTTGTCTTGCATTGAGAACTTCAAGATGTACAGCAAGGCCTGGAGTTAGAGTGAAGACTTTTCCACATGGATTAAATTTGGAAAGTTCCTGTCCAATAGAGGCTTCCTTGTGCACACTGAGGACGTCTTTTCCGTAACAATTACCCTCAGAAGTGTTCCCTCCATTGTGAGCTCTCATGTGTGTCTTAAGGCAAAACTGTTCACTGAAGACCTCTCCACAATTCTTACAGTCACAGAGTTTCCATCCACTGTAGCCTCTTGTCTGTTGATGACGGGATAAAGGTTTTAAAACATTTTCAGACATATAAAGAGATTTCACCCATCTGAACACAGAAACATTATTTTAATGACAATTATTATTTTACTTCTTAATGTTTATTTACTTTTTTTTTTTTTTGAGAGAAAGTCTTGTTCTATCTCCCAGTCTGGAGTGCAGTGGCACACTCTCAGCAAACTGCAACCTCCACCTCCCATGCTCAAGTGATTCTCCTGTCTCAGCCTCCCAAGTAGCTGGGAATACAGGTGCCCACCACTGCACCTGGCTAATTTTTCTGTTTTGTAGAGACAGGGTTTTGCCAAGTTACCCAGGCTGGTCTCAAACTCCTGAGCTCAGGTGATCTGCCTGCCTCGGCCTCCCAAAGTGCTGAGATTACAGGCGTGGCCACCATGCCCCACCTCAGTTTATTTATTTTTGAGATGGAGTCTCGCTTTGGCTGGAGTGCAAGTGGCGAGATTTCGGCTCACTGTAACCTCCACCTCCTGGGCTCAAGTGATTGTCGTGCCTCAGCCTCGTGAGTAGCTGGGATTACAGGCACGTGTCGCCACACCCAGCTAGTTTTGGTATTTTTAGTAGAGACGGGAGTTTCACCATGTTGGCCAGGCTGGTCTCAAACTCCTGACCTCAAGTGATCCACCCACCTCAACCCCCCAAAGTGCTGGGATTACAGGCATGAGCCACCGCACCCAGCCTCAATTTATCAGTATAAAGACAGGGTCCTGCTATGTAGCCTAGGCTGATCTCAAACTCTTCACAAAACCCCCCTGCCTCAGCCTCCCAAGGTGCTGGGATTACAGCCATGAGTTACCATGTCTGTCTACTTTGATAATTATAATTTTTACAATTTTTCTTCCTTGTTTTTATTTCCTGACTTCCTGATTTCTTCCAGATTGAATGATGGGAACTTTGGCTAGAATTCTATGCCACTGGCTCTAATTGTTAAAAAACAAACAAAAAAACTGTAGTTCTTTTTTTATTGTGGGGGGTGGTTTGAGACAAGATCTCACTCTGTCACCAAGGCTGGGTACCATGACACAATCACAGCCCACTGCGGCCTTAATCTCCCAGGCTGAAACCGTCATCCTACCTCAGTCCCCCGAGGAGCTTGGATTACAGGTGCATGCCAGCTAATTTTTTATTCCTTGTAGAGACAGGGTCTCTGTTGTCCAGGCTAGTCTTGAACTCCTAGGCTCAAGCGATTCACCTGCCTCAGCTTCCCAAAGTGCTGGGATTATAGGTGTCAACCATTGCACCCAACCAAATAGTGTAGATTTTCATGAAACTGTTTAAATCATCAATGTCTAGTTACTTCTGTGGGAATGTGTACTTGTGGGTATTTTGAAGTGACAAGTTATACAGGAATGAAACATCACAAAATTCACCACATTCAGACTCTCTCCAGAGACCCTGCTCCCTCAACGGTGCAGGCTGCTTCTCTAATTCTCTCAAGTATCTCTCATTTGTGCTGTTTCTTTTTCACTGCAACCTCCACCTCCCGGGTTTAAGCAATTCTGCCTCAGCCTCCCATGTAACTGGGATTATCGGTGTCTGCTACCACGTCTGGCTACCTTTGTATTTTTAGTAGAGATAAGAGTTTCACTACGTTGGCCAGGCTGGTCTCGAAGTGCCAACCTCAAGTGATCCACCTGCCTAGGCCTCCCAAAGTGATGGGACTACAGACTTAGTGTTTCTTTCTTTATTTCTGAGACAGTCTCACTCAGTCACCCAGGCTGGAATGCAGTGGTGCAATCTCAGTTCATTGCAACCTCTGCCTCTGTGTTCATGCCATTCTCCTGCCTCAGCCTCCTAAGTAACTGGTACGACAGGTGCCCACCACCACACTCAGCTAATTTTGTATTTTCAGTAGAGACGGAGTATCACCATGTTGGCCAGCCTGGTCTCAAACTCCTGACCTCAAGTGATCCACCCACCTCAATCTCCCAAAATGTTGGGATTACAGCTGTGAGCCACCACATTCACCCTCTCTTTAAAATCAGAGATGGGATCTTGCTGTACTGCCTAGGCTGGCCTTGAACTCTGGGGCTCAAATGATCCTCCCACTTAAGCCTCCCAAATAGCTGGGATTACAAATGTAAGCCACACCTCTGACTGTGCTGATATTCTAGAATGGAATTCTCCATCTTTTCTAAGAGAGGAAATTAAGAAATATCCCTCATGAATCTTACCATTTGTATCCCACTGAATATTTGATTCTTCAAAAAACCCTGCTGAAATGATGACCGTTTGATTCTAGGTTGTATTTCCCATTCTGAAGTTAAGCAGAAAAAGAAATGTAAGCCTTTAGAGAAGAAATGTTAGTTTAACATGAGTCATTTTTACTTGTTTTCAAATTAAACACAGCAATAAAATAAAAGCCAGAGAATCTTGAGGATTTTGGTATGTCAAAAATTAGGCTATAATGATGTGGGGTTTATTACACAACTGATGTGTTTAGATAGTTTATTACAAACTACTTCTGTGAAAATTAAAACTGCCAGGAACGGTGGTGGCTCACACCTGTAATCCCAGCATTTTGGGAGGCTGAGGCAGGTGGATAACTTGAGATCAGGAGTTCAAGACCAGCCTAACCAACATGGAGAAACCCCATCTCTAGTAAAAATACAAAATTAGCCGCACATGGTGGTGCATGCCTGTAATCCCAGCTACTCATGAGGCTGAGGCAGGAGAATCGCTTGAACCCGGGAGGCAGAGGTTGCAGTGAGCCGAGATCGTGCCATTGCACTCCAGCCTGGGTAACACAGGGAGACTTCAGAAAAGAAAAGAAAATTAAAACTGATGGAAAACAGAAAGAGAAGATCTTCAGGAAAGGAAAGTACGAAAGATCTAGATAAAGACCATATATCAAAATGATAAAGTTAATAAAGACACAGAACAGGTAGTTTAATTAGATCACAGGAATGTTTGACAAGACGGAAAACAAAAGTCAAAGATATCCAAAACTCTGAGAAAAATAGCTTAAATCTTCTGACAGCAGAAACATAAACTAATCCACTGCCAGCCACAGTGACATCTTTACTCTTCCTTTTTTTCTTTTATTGGAATCATCTCATTCGTCCACCCAATAGCTGGCAGTCGCCAGTGGCACAAATGATGCACACATAGCACGCTCCTTTCTCCCATTTTTCATCTTTCTCAGCCACTAGCTGAGGAATACAGGTGTAGTGCCACACACCACCAAACTCCACCTTTATAGGAGCCGCGCGTGCTGCTTCTCGTATTAAGAACCACCAGGGCCAACATGGACATCTTCTCTACAAAAAAAACAAAATAGCTTGGGCACAGTGCACATTGCCCTGTATCCAGCTTACATCAGAGGCCTGAGCGGCAGGAGAATCGCTAGACCTGGAAAGGAGCCGGAGCGATTGCAGCTGAAGCAAGATTGCACCATGCACCCCAGCCTGGGTTGCAGGCAAGACCTGTCACACCATTTAAAATATATGAGTGGCAGTGCAAATTCCTACACAACAACATATATTACCAACAATTCTGGGAGGCCGAGCGGGGATGGAATCCACCTGAGGTCCAGGAAATTCAAGACTGGGATGGCCCAACTGACAAGAAACACCATCAGCTACAAAATAACAAAAAATAATAAAAAATTACTGGGCTGGTACCACAGTTTCTCTCCCCGCTACTTGGAGGCTTGGAAGTTGCCAGTGAGCCAAAGTGGCACCATTTCCACTCCCACCTCCGGCACGAGAGCTGAGAACTCCCATGTCTTCAAAGAAAAAAAAAAAGCGAATAAAGTAGATACACAAAGAATGCTTGCCTCTCCATGGGTAAAACACAACATCTGCCACTGCAGGATTTCTCAAACATAGAATATATATTAATTCTCCATTCATAATATTAACATAAACACAGATTACTGGCCACACCCTAAGAGTTTCCAATTATATAAAAGTCCAAATAGAGAGAAGGGCTGATGCCGTGGCTTCCATAACGCATGTAATTTCCAGCACTGTTGGGCAGGCCAAGGTGGGGCGATCACCCCGGAGGTCCCAGAAGTTCGAAACCAGCACAGGGCCAACAGTGAAACCACACATCTCTACTACAAATTGAGCCCGGGCAATAAGATTGGTGGGTGCCTGTAATCCAGGCTACTCAGGAAGGCTGAAGGCAGAAGAATCGGCCTCTTGAACTTTGAAATGAGTTGGGAGGTGCAGATGCCGAGAGAGATCAAGATAGCCATTGCCAACTCACAAGCCTAGGACACAAGAAGCGAAGCTTCGTCTCGAAAAGAAAAAAAAAAAAGATAGGAAGGAGATTATATTTCTTACAGCACAAAGCTTGATGGCTGTTTGAATATTTTCCAGGAAATTACCACCGTAAATTAAACATACTAAAAAAAAAAATACATATACAAATAAATAGATGCAAATAAAATAATAAATTGAACAGAACCAAAAAAACCCCCATAGCTACAGCAGGAACCTGTTCCTTGGGGACCCTGTCTCTGTATTCCCACCCTGCCTACTTCAGGAATTGACAAGCAAAACATGTAACAATACATCACGTTGATAACCAGGGCTACAAGAAATGAATGCCGAGTGTTTATTTTAATTAATTAATTTTTTTAGACGATAGTATCACTTGTGTCAACTCCGGCCTGGAGTGCAAGTGGGTCTGAAATTCTTCGGCTTACTTGCAACTTCCCTGCTCCTGGTTCAAGCAATTTCTCATCTGGCTCAGCCTCCAAAGTAGCTGAGATTACAGGTGCCCCGCCAACAAGTCTGCCTAATTGTTTTCTTATTTTAGTAAGAGATGGGGGTTTTTCACGTAAGTTTGGCCCCACACTGGTCCCCCTCAAAGTTCCCCTGATCCGACGAGATGTGATGCTGCCCCCTTGGCCCTCCCAAAGTGCTGAATTAGTAGGTGTAGCACCCCATCACTGGCCTAGTCCTCCTCATTGTTTAGGAATTTTTTTTTTTTTTTTGTTTGAGATGGATCCGCTCGCTCTGTCCCGGCCCAGGCCTGGAGGTGCAGTGGCGTGATCTCCGGCTCACTGCAAGCTCCCGCCTCCCTGGGTTCATGCCAACTTCTCCTGCCTCAGCTTCCCTGAGTGCGGGACTACCAGCACCCCTGGCCCAACTGCACGCCCACGCTTCAATTTTTTTTTTTCTTTTTTTTAGTAGAGAGGTGGGTTTCACGGTTGTTAGCCAGGAATGGTCTCCATCCTCCTGACCTCATTGATCTGCCCAACTCAGCCTCCAAGTGTTGGGACTTACAGGCGTGGAGCCACTGCGCCCGGGCCTAAGACATGTTTTTTTTTTTTTTTTTTTTTTTTTTGACGACGGAGTCCTCGCTCCCCTGCTGCCCCGCCCAGGCTGGAGGTGCAGTGGCGATCGCTCGGCTCAGCTGCAAGCTGCCGCCTCCCGGGTTTCACGCATTCTCCCTGCCTCAAGCCTCGCCGAGTAGCTGGGACTACAGGCCGCCCACACCTCGCTCCGTGCTTAACACTTTCTTTGGTATTTTTAGTAGAGACGGGGTTTCACCGTGGTGCTCGGATCTCGCTCCGACCCTTGGATCGCTCGCCTCGGCCTCCCAAAAACTGGGATTACAGGCGTGAGCCACCACGCGCGGCTAGAATTCTTTTGTTTTAACGAGACAAAAGGTTCTCACATGCTGGCCCATGCTAGTATCTAAACTCCCAGGGCCTACCAATGATTCTCCACCTCAGCCTCCCCAAGTCTGGGACATAGGTCAGGCCACCCATACCAAGGAAAAACTGAATGGTTACTCTTACCCAAACGGAGGCCAGGTGTTCATGTAGTCTCCACCATCACATCCTCTGTAAGCGTATTTCTCCAGTTGGGCGCGCATAACAGGCCCCACTCCCTCCGGGGCTGAAGCACAACACAACAAACAAAAAAAAACAAGATACAAAATGAAAACATACACCATCGCTGGTTTGGAGCCCAAGTGAACAACTTCCCACCCCAGTGCTCACTTGGAGGAAGAGGAAAGGGGAACCTTTAAACTCACTTTATACTGGTTCTCCAGGTCTCCCCATGAGTCTACTACCAGGGTCTAAATTGTCTCAGGAGCTCTTCTGTGTGTAAACACTCAATAGCTGACCTCCACACAGGCAATATGCCTCTAAACAGCACTTAAAAAAATTTTTTTTAAGCTCTTATTTTTCCGTGATCCGTATGTTACGCGTGTTGTCAGCTGCTCTTTTAATATGTTCGGCCGTTTTTAAATTTAACATTTTTATTTTATCTCAAACAGGGAACAATGTCTTCCTAAACATGGGCTGGATTGTTTATCTACTCTAGCATCTATCTTCTAGTCTATTCAATCTGTTTTATTATATATATAATAAAGAACAGGCGTCCACGTGATCACCAGGCCAACACTCGCGCGCTGCTTCTGCAGCTTCCATCCTCCTCGAGCGTGGTACCTCTCACCTCTGTTCCTGATATCTGGAATTACAGGCATGACGGCCACTGCAAACTGGCTCGTCACACTTTATCCTCGAAGCCACAACCAAGTTAGAGCTTCTCTCCCTGTCCATTGGTCCTCATGCTCAGCCACACTCCTGAGGCAACCTGCAGATACCTTGACTAAATGCTGAAGGTGAGTAAATAAATTAATTGATAAAAGCGACACTTTTGTCAATCCTCTCTTATCATCTTGTCACAAGAACCCCAGGCATATAAGAAACATTGCAGTTAAGCACCAAGAAGTCAAGCTTCAATCGTTCTTAGTCATTACCTGACATAGTTGACGATGACTTTCAACCTTTAACACTTTAACATATAGGGGAGACTTCATATCCCGTTGCGTCTGTAATTATTCATTCTGGGGACCTCCATAGTCCTTGAGTAAGTGCTTCATTTGCTTTCTAAGAACTGCCTGGAGGATCGGTTGGCGTGCCGCAAGGAAATGTCCGGTACTCTTGGCGGGATGTCGTAGAGGGGTATGACATTTGGTATAACAGTAATTGGTCCCTGTTTACCCTGCATAAGACATTGCCAGCTGTCTCCCACCATCCTTTCTACTCGTCTTTTCTATCAAAAGCGCTTGTTCCTCGGAAAAAAAACCTTAGTGGGAAAAGGTAAGAAGCGAATGAGAAGCCAGAAGCTGTCCCATGGCTAACACATTTCAGATGTAGAAAGGATTCATTAAGCTTGAAATTGCCATACTGCCTCCTGCAGCACCCTCGAGAAAAACTGTACACAACCACACACTGCCATGAAAATGCCATAGGGTAATTGTGTCAGCTAGAGCCACAGAAAAGCAGATCGTGGGGCCGCGAGCCGCCCTGATTGGGTAAAGGGTCAATAGTGTTCATTTTACCAAGGAAACTTACACCCTGAAAATGTGATCTTATCCTGCCCATAGTACGTAAAATACCTTCATGAAGCTATGTACGCAATGTTCCTAAGGCACACAAGACCAGGGCTGAACTTTCTAAACAACGCAATCCGCCTGGGCACAGTGGTCATGCCTTAATCCCAACATTCTGGGAGGCAAGGGGCGCGGCAAATCATGTGCAGGTCAGCGAATTTAAGCACGAATGCCAATATGATGAAAACCCCATCTCTACTAAAAATAATAGCAAACAATTAGGAGGCTGCAGGCAGATAAATGCTGCACAGGAGCAAAGGTGCCAGTGGTCGCGCCTAGGCCAGCACTGAGCCTGGGGAAGAGCACAGCGAGACTATCTAAAAACAAAAACAAACAAACAAAAGTTAGCCCAGGCTGGTGGGTAGTCTTGGCCCCAGCTACTTGGGAGCTGAGGCCAAAGACAATCACTCATGAACCTGAGCAGAGGGGAGGGGTGTGCAAAGTGCGCTAAGATTTGCACCACTGCACTCCAGCCGTGACGGAACAAGATTCCTTATCTCAAAAAATCACAGACAAATAAACAAACAAACAGCATTCTGTTTGTGGTTCCCTTCAATTCTCTACAAAAGAAACTGCATGCCTGCTCCGGCCAGCTCACTTGGACCTTCCGTTGCTGTGGTGGCGCGGTGAGGACATAAAGCAAACCTTGAAAAACGTATCATCAACAAGACCTTACATGGGACAACTCAATGGTTGCCATGTCTCTGAGCTGAGGTGCGCGACATGATCTGTTTGATGCAAAGATCACCGTCAGGGCAGGTATGAAATTAGAGATGCGATAAGTAATCTCCATTTCTCTTTGTACCGGGGTTAATTTGCCGATCCTGTTCATCATCAATCATCAACACAAGCACTGCCCTCAGTCATCAAACATATGCGCTGGAGCTTTTGGCCCTGCAGGTGACAGATAGTGAAGGGCACAAAAATTGCATCATCCCAGTATCCCGCGTCCACTCGAACTAACAATAAATAAGGACAGTCAGACTTGAGCATTTAGCTCGCGACGACCGATAATGCCCAGAAGTCACCTCTACATCAGCTTCTTATATAACAATAGCTAACTGTAATATACAACATCCTTCCCATCAGCTATCATTACATCCAGCTGCCTTCTATCTCTTATCACTCTCTCTACATCCGGAAGAAACAGGTCTTACCTACTGTCATGCCAGGTGAAGTGAACACCAACGCGCTCTTCGCTACGCTAAACCGGGTCGTGGGGGGCTCAAGCCTGATGCTCCCGACACCTCACCTCCTGAATAGCTGGGACCACAGTAGGCATCCGTCCTCCTTCATTCACATATATCATTATTATTTGAGACAAAGTCATCATCGATCTGCGCCCCGCGCTGGAATCAGTAGCGA